ACGGCGTTGCACAGCGTGTAATCTGCAGGGACAGAAGGGACCGTCACTGCCCAGGAACCCACTGCAACACCCCAGTCCTCCCACGGGGGCAGCAGGGGATCCAAGGGGACGCACAGGGCAAGGGGACACCCCAGGCAGGTCCTCAGCCAAAGAGAGACAAAGCGAAGTTCCTAAGGAGCAAAGAGAGCCCCGAGGGGGCCCCCTATGTACCTCCCACATCCCTGTCCCCTGGGACACCCTCTGCTCACAGCCTCTCACCTGTGACCCCACCAAGTGGCACCAAAGATGGAAAGGAGGGAAGAAACATGGAGCTGGCCCACTGCCAGCGAGATGGTGACACTGAGCTGTGACAACATGTTATGACTGTTCCTGGGGCTGGGAGGTGCAGGGAGAGGTGTCCTTTGACATTTATCCTCACCTATCAGCCCAGCAACCTTGGTCTCCAGGTCATCTATAGGGTTCTGAGGAGCTGGCCAGGCTCAAATGCAGGTGAAGGAAGCTGGAACCCTCTCCTTGGTCCCTTCATACAGCTGCTCTCCTGCCCTAAACTCTTTCTAGTTCCCCCAGGATGTGACAGATTGCAGGGAGGAAGAGTGGAGCAGGATGTGGCTGGGGCGATGTCTCACCTCTCACCACCAAGTCCAGGGTGTTGCTGACAGCAGACCATTCTTTCCAACCCTTCATGCACTGGCAGCTGTAGCGGCCGCTGTGACCTTTCTGCACGAGGGAGAAGTTGTGGTTCCCTTGTTCCCTGAGGAACAGCGGCACTTCCATCTGGCCCTCCAGGTACAGGTAACAGCTGGTGCTGGGCTGTGTGGTGGTGCAGCGGAACATCACCTCAGCTCCCACATCCACCTCGTGCCCAGGGAGGACAGAGAGGTCGGGTCGGGGCAGACGGAGCTCTGGGGGCACAGGAGAGGGAGTGAGAAGGTGCAGAGGGCTTTGACGTGGTGCCAGGAGCACTAAGATCTCTGTGAAGCCACCAACTGCCTCAGGCAGAGGTGAAGATGGTCCCCACCTCCCCAAGCCAGGGAAGAGGAGAAAAACCTTGTCCCCCATGGAAATGGCCACAGGCATCCTGGTGTGCCCTGGGGCGTGTGACCCCACAAGGGGGGAAACAGCACATCCCTCACCTTCCACAAAGACTTCCAGTCCAGTGCTTCGAGCCAGCTCAGTGTCTCCCTCCAGGTAATGGCAGACGTAGGTACCTCTGTCCTCGTAGGTGGCATTAGAGATGGAGAACTCGGCCTTGCCACCACTCTGCTCCAGGGTGGGGAGCTGGTGGCCGCCCTTGTACATCCTAAAGCTCCCACTGCTGCACTGGCAAATGCAGTAGATGGTGGTGGAGCCTCCAGGTGGGATCACCCCTGGTGGCTTCTGGAAGATGGAAATTGTGGGGGCACCTGCACAGGGAGAGAGATGCTGCCAGCCAGACAGGGACCCCCAAGCAGCTGCCCTGCTGTGAGCCCGGGGCTGCCACCAGGCCCCATCTCCACACAAGGGTGAGTTTTATTCCAGGGGGCTGTGGAAGAGCCCTGGGAGTTGGGTAGGCCCAGAAATGTGTCCAAACTCCCCATCTACCTTCTACCTCAAGATACTCACTTGGTGTAGCCTCGCCCAGTGACACCAGCCAAGCGCCTGCAAGAGAAGCAGCCGTGTAACACCTCCATGGAGTGTCTGGGCAACACCTCCCGTCGCCCTCTGGGAATCCCCACAGCCTCTGGCACTCACCCAAGGCCAGCACACGGGTCACAGGTGGCATCACGTCCCTCTTGGCTCCCTCAGTATTCGGCTCAAGCAGGGCTTCTGCAGAGGGAAGCGTTGGCCAGAGGCACCGAGCAGCTGCGGGGCTCCTTGTGGCTCCTGACACAAGCTCGCTGTCACAAGCTGCCTCCTGTCCCACGGCTTGGCTTTCTGCAGCACGACTGCAGGGCTGGGGTGGCTGAACTGGAACCACAGTGTCCAGTCACATGCCCAGGGCAGGGCCCCTGTGACAACTTAAGACCCGGCAGACCTTGGGAGAAAGGCTATCAGGACTTTTTGTTTCTCTTTCTTAGGTCCGGTCACTTGATGGTGAAATGGCTTCTTCTCTGCCTTATGAAATAGGGGTTTGTTTTGCAACCACAAACCCACAAGTTTGGTGGCTCAGCAGATTGAAATAGAAGGGAAGGAACTTGACTTCCTTTTTGGTCCTTTCCTGGCCTACAGGGTCCATCTTTGCAGGAGGGACAGCAACACCTCCTACCCGTAGGTCTGAGTGCATCCCACAGCATTGGTCCCACTCCTCATCCATCCAAACCCCCTCAGTCCCACACCGGAGCAACCCATGGTCCTTACTGCAGACAGCTGCTGCCTTCCACCCACTCCTGGAGCCAGGTGCACCTCAGCTGCATCTTCCCTGGGTTGCCAGTGATGTAGACAGAGCTCCCTTTGACAATAGTGAGGGGCTAATGAAACAGGGACAGTCGCTTGCACCCCTGGATGTGGGAGAAGGGAAGGGATGAGTCCTGGCACTGGGGCTGTGTGGGACACGTGCAGCTTGGCCAGGAGTCCTGCTCTGAAGGTGTTTGTAGCTCCCTGCCCTCCTGTGAGCTGCAGGCAGCACATCCTGTCCCCTCTGCATCTGCAGCCTCTGCCACAACCGGCCCCTGCAGGAAAAACAGGGAAGGCTCAGAGCTGGGAGGGTGGGGGTTATATGGGTGTAAACCAGGGGGAAAAGGCAAAGCTGTACTTCTTCCAGACCCTTTCCTACCCTTTTCCTTTTTGTCCTTCAGCCATTTTGGTCTCCCTTGGAGATTCCATGGGCAAGGAGAAGTTTTGGCAGCAGGGTTCCCTATGGCCTCTTCCTGTTCTGGGCACCTCCTCTGGCCCTCTCTCCTGTCTAACCACCCTTTGCCTCCTCCAGCCTCAACTAATTCTTGGCATTGATGACTTAGTATTTGAGCTTTTATATTTTTCATATATTTGTAATCTTGCAATTCTTTAGTGTATAACTCTAAACTCCATATTCAGTGTGAGCTGCTGCTTTCCCATTTTGGTCAGACACAACAATTCCTCTCCAGGCCTGGCAGTCAAGGACTCCTCACCATCTCAGGCCCCAAGAAATGCAAACAAGTGAGTTGGGGGGAGCAAACTAGGGGTAATGACTTCATTACCTGAAGCTGTAATTGGAAGATTAACCCCCAAAAGGCAAATGGACCAATCTTATAAAAGTTATTAAACTATGAAAACCTGTGGACCATTGTCCATTTTGGGTGTAGCCCCTGAGGGGCTTTGTCTATCTGAAATAAACAAAGCCTGAAGGCCCTTCAATAAATAGAACTGCTTATTATTCCCTTAATTTTATCTGGCCTCTGTTTTTAGGTAGCCCCAAAAAGGCATCAGCATCTCCTTGGGGAGCCTCCTTTCAGCCCCACAGCCCCCACTGGCCACACCAAACTGCTCTGGGCTCACCAGTGCCCAGTAGAGAACAAGCCCTGGCCATTCCATGGCTCTGGCCTGGCTCCCACTGTCCAGGATGATGTTGGTGGCACTGCTGTGGGCCCATCCATGGGCACACTGGAATCCCTGCTCCCTTCTCCAGAGCCTTTTCTCACATCCCTCACCCTGAGACTGACCTTGGGGTGCACATCCAGAGCATGGGACTGTGGAAAGAGCTTTCCCCCTCCATCCCCACTGCTGGGAGTTGCCTGATCCAGCAGCCTGAGAGAGAGGAGGCTGCCACAGCTCCAAGGCCCCAGGTCCAAGCAGTTGTGAGTCCCCAGAGGACAGAGGGGGTCACACACACAGAGCCAGTACCACAGGTGTGGGCAGGCACACAGGGCCTCCCACAAACAGCACCAACAGGATGTGCCCCTCACTGTATCCCTCCAAGCACATTTGAGCTTAAAATTCAAAAGCTTTAATGAACAATGCACTGTCAGAGTCTCACCACCATAAACGGTTCTACAGGCAGTATGGAAAGATGTGGCTGGAGACGATTCCTCATATCCACTTCAGCAACTCCAAAGAACTGCCCTGTGATCTGGGCTTCACCCCCAGCTGCAGCTACACCTCCCTCTACTGCCCAAAGCTGGCACCTCAGCAGCGGCATTGCCAACAAGACAAGGATGCCACCCTCTGACAGGAGTCAATGTCCCCAGCGTTCCTGATCCCAGCCAGTTTAGCCCTTTCTGCCACTGGACATTCTCAGCTCAGAAGCACAGAATATGCTGCCTTGGAAGGGAGCCATCAGGATCATTGAGGCAAACTCCTGGCTACAGTGCAAATATGTAAATCAGTAGGTTCTTTTTTTGGCTCTGAAGGAAAACATTATCACCTGACGTTTTCCTTTCAGTTATCTTCCTTCCCCAGTTCAATTCTGCAGCCTCAAGTCACTGGCTAGAGCAGAAGTATGCCCATACTAGAAAAAAAAAAAAACAAAAAAAAAACCAAAACAACAGGGAAGGATAAAGAAATACAAGCTGTTTCCAAACCATGCAAATATCACAAGAAACCACCCCTGCTGCCAAAATCCAGCAACTGCTGCAGTGCTCCCGCTCAGCAAAGCAGACTCCAGCAATGATTTGGTGGGACCATCATGTTTGTAACACCTGAGCCATGTCTCCCCATAGCCCCGCTGGCCTTGGCTGTCTCTTCCCACCTGGATTCTCCCTGGCTGTTGGTGGAGGCCCTCATCACAAACTCTCAACAATGCAGAAGCATCTTCAGACAAGCTAAGCATGAAGTAATCTCTGTCTGCCTGTTCCCACAGCACCAGGTGAGCGTGCAGCTGTGCTCCCAGCCTGCAGCAGCTTTCCCAGGAAAGGGCTGCACAAATGTCAGGGCAGACTGCACAGCCTTCTAACCTGCCTCTGCTGAAGGGAGGCAGCACACTCGGGCTCCCAAGGCAAGCAGCAGCAACCCACAGTTCACTGAAGTACACCCAAAATGCTACACGGTGCAACCTTGACTACAAGTTGTGCCACAGACATTTTTAGATTTTAACCATTAAGCTAAGCTGTCGCAGACATCCTTTCACTAAAAATCCTTTCTTTAGGATTTTCCCTTCTGGGAAGCTGAGGCTCCAGAAAAAGAATGCAAACAATGGTTATCTGCTGCTGTGGAATGCAACAGGTGCACCTGTGATTGGCACATGTTGGATGTTTACAATTAATGGCCAAAACAGACTGAGCTCTCTCGGACAGAGTTAGAGAGAGCTCCTTTGTTATCATTCTTTTCTATTCTTAGTTTAGCTAGCCTTCTGAGAACTTTTCCTTCTATTCTTTTTAGTATAGTTATAATGTAGTATATGTATCATAAAATAATAAATCAAGCCTTCTGATCATGGAATCAACATTCTCATCTCTCTCTCATCCTGAAAACCCTTGTGACCATGGTCACACTAAGCCACAAATGGTTTTTTACCTGTCACAGAAAGTTTAGGACTGTGATTTAAAAAAAGCCAAAAGCTTAGGAAATAATGCTGCTCAAGAAGACAAAAGAAAACACATTCCTAAGATTAAATTTTAAAAATATTTTATGTAAATGATATTTTTATCTTCTTTTTTGTTTAATTTTTCACACTTGAAACTATGCATTAATTCAAATACTGTGATAAAAGCATCATCTTGAATTGTAAAATAGTAAAATATTCTTCTTGAAAATATCAACAGGAAAATGTTTTTTCCACCTGAGTTGTTTCAGATTAGTTCAGAATAATAAGAACTGATTCTTACAAGCAGCTTTTATTGGTTTTTTAGTGAACCTGCATTTTCCAAAAGAGAAAAAAAATTATAATGTCAGACTACTTTCTTTTCTTATTATCTACCTAGTTTTGCCTTTCATTTTCAGTTTCAATTCTGAGAGACGAGACGCTGGAGAATAAATGTCTCATTAGATCCCTCCCTGTCCCTCCTCTCTGAATGCTGGTGTTTGTTCTGGCTGTGCTACATCCAGAGAGAACTACAAGGAAGGCTTTGCTCCAGACATGCAAAACTGCTCCAAACAGCCCAGGAGGTGCCTCAGCTTGCTCTGTCCACCTCTCAGCCTAGCAAATGAGAAAAAGCAGGCAAGAGAAGGGTCAGTTTTATTGCACCTATCAAGGGAAGGACTCATTTTACTTACCTTCTGTCATGGCATAATCCCAGACACAACTGAGCTTCACACATGATCCTCGGTGGGGCACTGGAGAAAATCAAATGGTCAAAGTGAAAAACCCCCTTGTGGTTTGAGGTAAAGGTGTTTAATAAGGGAAGGAAAAGCTGCACATGGAAGAAAAGCAAACCAAGGGATTCATTGCCCACCTCCCACTGGCAGGTTCAGCCATCCCCGGGATAGCCTGGCTCCAGCATGGTTACAATGACGGCAGGACAAATGCCACCACCCAAACACCCCCTTCTCTCTTCCCCAGCCTGCCCTGGGAGCACAACGCTGCTGTGTCCCTCTGTCCCCGGCTGGCCAGGGCTCCTGGCAGTGCTGCAGGACCCATCCCCACCCCTGCAGAGGCCCATGGCTATCTGCAGTCCCACCACAGCTCTGAGAGTCACAGGGATGAGGGCCTGGAGGAATGGGAATCTGCCTGGAGAGGGGTCAAAGCCGTGGAGCACTGACCTGCACACCATCATCACAATCAGCAGCAAGGTGAAAGGAGGAAGAGGTGAGGAGGCTTCCCTGCAGAGGTGCTTCACTGCATCCCTTGAGATTTCTCCTTCATTTGCCCCGAGTCACCGTGTCCTGCAGGTTCATTCTTCACACATTCCAAGTGGTCTCATGTCTCTGTGGTCTTTGTGCCTGCACTCTGCAGTCCAGGCAGCCTCAGTGTGGTGTCGTGTGGTCCCCACATGGTCTGTAACAGTCCATGGGGCTGAAATTTGTCTTATGTGATCTCTGCAGTGCAAGTGATCTCCATATGGCCCCACGACCCATTAGATAGAGCCCCTTCACCCAGGACAGTTTGGGTGATTCTGCAGGCTAGTCTGGGACAGGAGACCAGGCCCTGATGGCCCTGGGCCCACAGCAGTGTCCCCACACAGTCACACCCCACACCCCTGCAGCCATATCCCCACACATGCCCATATCACATCCCTCTAGGTGCATCCCTACATATTTCCACATCCATGTAGCCACATCCCCACGTGAGGGAAATGGATTTGTAGAGAGTTCTCAGGGCCTGACAGAAAGCCCACACAGTATACATCCATCCAAACTTCGAGATAAGAAATGCTGACTTAGAAATGCCATGGAACAGGACAGATATTGGTGAGAGACAAATGGACCTAGAAACAAGTTTCAAAAGATGGCGTTGCAAATAAGACTAAATACTTTAGAGAAACAGAACCATGAAAGACGCATTGTAGTGGGACCCATGAGGGGTCATTTTAGATGATTGGCTTTAAAGCATCTACAACATGGTGTGGCTAAACCTGATAGGCCAAGAAACACTTAATAGTGTATTGTAATTAGGAAATAGTTTACTTCTGATTGTGATGATATGAATTATAACATCTGTATTATCTCACCCTTCTTATGAGACTGAAAATAGAATAAAAGTTTTTAAAACATCTCTCAGTTACCCCATCTCTAAATCAGAAAAAAATATGATCCAACACCCACGTGTTCCCATACCCCATCCAGGTATCCACATTCCCATTTCCCTGCCG